GTTGACTAGTATAAATATGAGTTCTACCTCAGAGAAGTCTGCGCTCTACTTATTTCACTCACAAGGAGGATGGACGCAGGAATACAGCCGTTCTGGTTAGATTACTCTGAAAGGCATCCGTTCACAAAGAGATCTAAATGTTGGCGGACTAACCGAGACGCTCCATCCACCGATACTTATGATAGGAAACATAAAGCCAGTAAGTGGAGTAAAGAACACCTACAATGCTCGGCTAAATTTCGTAAAATAAGCCAGCAGACGAAGCGTTGGAAAATACAAAAAGATGCTTCGCGTATGTAAAATAACGCTGCGAGTCAAACACGTCAATTCTAGTGTTAATGCATGATGACAGTACTCACGCTCTTACGGACTAAGACAAGTCTTGACCACTTAGTGCGCAATATGTAGTGGCGTTAGTAAGGAAAAGCTATTTGAAAAGCGTTGAGCTGGTTTGCCGGATCCCAGAAGGTTGGGACTTACCTGACATTAATTTAACCGTGACGGTGGTTCATAAGCTGTTACAAGGGTTGGACAATTCGAACTCCACTGGGACTGGTTAAATTAACCCATAACTTTTGAATGAGTTGACTGCGGAACTGGCTACCGTGTTTCATAAATTGCTTGACAGCTGTGTATCACTTTGGAAGGAAGCTGACATTTGTCGCATCTTCACGAATGGGGAGAGTGTTATCTTCAAATAACAGTCCAGTTAGTCTGGTGTGTATTAGTCATACTCCTAGTAACTGGTGTGTGTTTCATTTGAATATCACTTGGGTAGATTTATTCTACTTAGTAATGCCCAACGTGAATTCCGAAAGGGGTGTTGGTGTCAGACAAATCTATTGTTCGCTCGCAAAAGTTGGACGAATAGCGTGGATAACGGCCACGCACTGGATGTGCTTTTCGTCGACATTTCGAAGGCAGTTGACCAGGTACCCAATTTGCGACTCGGGCAAAAGCTGACCATCTACGGGGTATCAACCCGCGCCCTTCATTGGGTGACTGCCTTGTTAGATGGTAAAAACAATGTGTACGGGTAGACCGTGTGCTATCCTATAGGCAATCTGTCCTTAGTATTGTGTCGCATTGCACGGTCCTTGGACATCTGTTGTTCTCTATATATACGTGAAAGATTTATCCGCGAAGCTTGAGGTATCATAGCTGCTGTTTAATGATAACCTGAATTATTGGGATATTGTCGAAGTTCCTGGGAGTTTTAAAGCTATTCCAGAAGCCTTGGATAAGCTTTAGGACTAGTCTGCTTTATGATTACCACCAATAAATCAGGCAATGTGCCCGTTCATTCCAACTGGATGGGTTTGTCCTTCTGTAATTACTTGGTCGGTAACGTCGAACTCTCCAGTGTATCTAGACAAGCTGATTTAGGTGTTGTCCACTCTTCGACGATACACTCCGGTGACAACGCAAAGAAGGTCGCAAGCAGGGTTTTTCACATGTGAATTATACGCCGTTCTTGCGGAATCTTGAAGGGCGACAAATTTGCGAGAATGTTTTCGGATTATGTTCAGCCTCAAATGCAATGCTGCGTTCAGTGCACTACCGAAGGCTTAGAAGAGACCTAATACTAATCTATCGTATCCGAACTGCTTTGGTTATACATATTTATATTAGCTATTTGGTCTCGCTCGATTGTCTGTTCTACGAGGTCATTGCATGAAGTTGGACAAGCCGTCGACCGATTGGATTGAGGTGGAAATCTGGCTGTTACGCCTATTCAAACGCTGGAACACGCTTCCCGAGTGTTATCAGAGAATCTACGATTAAGGGGTTTGAACGGTTTGACTGTCTTGGGCAACCACACCAAACCTATCCTTTTCGTAATTAATTCACATCTACCTAAGTCCGTTTTCTTTCCTTTACCTTTCTTCATGTATTGGTATTATCGTCATTATTACAAGTAAACTTCCTTATTGTGTACCTTCAATTTATTATGCTATATTTTACCTACTTCAAGTGACTGCGACAGCAGAGACTGCCAGGTCGAAAAATGTGAACATTAACTGATTGGCTAGACTGCGATATAAGTGTTCCGTTTTAGATCCATCAAGACATCTGAGCACTTCATTGATTACAGTCTTAACGATCCCACAAGATGGAACACCCACGGGATGCTCCTGTCGTTCCTGTCCCACACGAACTTGTAGAGTGCTTTATCCAAATGTCTTTATTTTATTAAAGTCAACAGAAATTTGCGAATTAATATGAAATTTAATTCATAATCAAAGTTGTTTATCTTGTAACCATATTTCCAAACATGTATGCTGCAATACGGAACAAAGTTCCTCAGTTTATTCGTTTTCTTGTTATAATCGGTTGATATGGTTTCAAGGAGCCAACTAACACCTGCAGCTTCAAAATTCTTGTCTTATACACAAGTACTCTTTACCTTTAACCATTTTTGTAACGTTGTATACGGAACCTTTTTACTTATATAGGGACTCTTTCTTTGCGTTGTTACTTGTCAAGAAAGCATTTTAACAAACACGTTATGCTGTCAAAATGCATTTCTTACTGTAATGATTGTAGGCTAATTGAAATTCAGTCCTAAGGTTTGCGCATGGCTATCATCCGCCCTATCTTTTATTAATTAATTATACCGCCGCTTGCAGGCTATTACCTGGGTAAGCACTAAAATAAAACTTTCAATTATAAGATAACCGTTTCCGTTCTCGTGTGTACAAACGCGACTTCATTTTGATCTATTATTTGCAGTATATAGAACATATAATCCAGGTGAGTTCATGCTGATAGGAAGTTGACTTGGCAGAATATGTTTTGGCTTCATATTTAACACATTACAATATCAACTCCACATACCACATAAGCTCAAAATCTTTTTATTTAAACCAATATCCTAGTAGTGAATTTAAATTAATATTTACTCCTGACAGTCTTACGCTTAAATATCTAAATGTGAATGCCGCTAGGCCAAGGTTTTACTTTTGTAACGAAGTCTCCGAGATGAGAGTGGATTTCTTTTTCATCTTCATTATAACTGAAAATTTTCAAGTGCTTAATTTTAATGTATACTTGTTCGTAAGTTTTATATAGGCCAATACATGTTCCGTAGTACTTAGCTCAACTTTGCTAATGATCGCTCAAGATTAATGTAAAGTTGCGCGAACGCAATACTAAAATCTGTTTCGGTGTCAGAACTCCCTACAATTGAGACTCTTGCAAGCCACGCTGATAACCAATTTATAATATAATTTATGTTATATAAAACGACGATACTATAAAACCAGACAAAACGTTAAAACCTTAAGGAATTTGGCTTATGATGATAATAGAAGAGTTGGGTCAAAAATACAAATTAATTTATTATTCCCTTTAATTTAAATTGCATAATACCTATTCTTGTTGCTCGGTTAGTGAAATGCGAATTGGTCAAGATGAGTGCTAATTTAATGAAAATTAGTCTATTTAAGCAAACTTGAAGAGTCACTTAATTTCACACTTTGACTGATGCGGAAAATCAAATGTTGCTTTTGTCACCGTTGAACGATAAGTCTGAGGTGTTGGTGTAAAAAGAATCACGGTATTAATGAATGCGATAAGCCTAGACAATTAACCATGATGTTCATTGACCGGTAATTGTAAAGAAATAGGGATTAGATGCTCCGCCGTGGCACCACTTCAGAACGCCTCCACTTGTCAAAAATTGCACTTGAGATTGTTTAAGCCTATTTGGATAAGAAAGAAGTACGCTTCGCTTAACTCTGCCAGGATCGCCGCCCGTGACCACTTGCGGCTAGCAGCTTTTGCATTTAGGAACCAATGACGATGTCAAATCATCAATACTTACAGATTAACCGATATTGCATACGTTATCCGCTAACGCCAGCGCAAGTTACGAACCTTAATAAAGAAGGTATTGTACTAACGAGCTGTGGCTTTCAAAACCGTGCCTTTGCATGAAACATTAATTTGGGGCATTAGTGACCGAAGGCATGACCACACGTAAATAGAGTATTTATAAGTAAATGTATTACAAAGTACTCGCAATAGATCCTAAGCTACACACTCTAGCAAGTATCCAATGAGAATACTCACTAGTTAGTCAGACCGTGTAGTTGCAATTTGCTGTCCTCACTTAATCCTAGCTATATACAAGGAGAGTCCTTGTAGATCATAGGTTCACTTCCCGATGGTGATGCATTATCCTTGCTAATGACAAGTCGCAAAAGCCTGAGACAACCTATTACTGATAAATCAAACCGTGAGCATTGTACTAAATTGAATTTGTCAGTTAACTAATCGCCATAATTTTTCCCAGGTATTTGCAAGCAGGTATAGTTACTATGCTTATCACATTGTTGATAGTGTAGGTGGGCAAATTTTAGTCTTGTGATGTAAACTATTAAGTTTAAAATATGATTTTATCCTTATCTTCTTGGCTATAACTAAAAATGCATCCCAAAACATTTTCTTCCCAGGAATACGGGACTGGGTTATTTGATATAGGATTCACCCAGTAAACAAACAAACATGATTAGTTACTTGTTGATGCTCCATCATTTATAATTGTACATGAAATACATAGCAAAGCAAGCGTAATCCTGGAAGAAGAAGCAGCCGATAAGGAAAATATAAGCGTCGTGTATTGCGTAGAATAAACTTATGCATCGGTTCTCCGGGTGGTCTTTAGAAAAAGACTTCCATTACGGTGAAGCTTTTCCAAAACCAAGCGGATTACCTCCTGCTGCAATAACTAGTTTTATAAATCATGTGTCAAGAGGACAGCAAGATAATTTGAAGCTGCTAACACAATTGCCAATTTAGTCATATGGTGGAAACATTAGCAAAACTGCGACGAATATGCACCCACGTTAGGAAACTTTATTTCGCTGACATAGGAATGTATTGCCATACATGGACATGAATTAATATCCTATAAGTCCTTGTTTATATACTAAAACTAAAGTACTGAACTTTTCTAACACTAAACCGCCTACCCATTTTAAGAACCTGCTTCGCAAATGATCTGCGTTTTCCAAGGTTAGTGGCATTCCCGCAAAGCCAATTTCTAAATTCGTTTGCCAAAAACTAACTACAATCATTTCAATCCTCAGCAAAATTAGATGAATATAAAACCGGTAAGTAGTACCCAGTACAGATATAGGGTACATCTGTTGTATTTTCATAAGTAAACAGCTGATCAAATATCTATCTCATTCAAGTAAAAAGAAAACTTTTAGGTAAAGGAACTAGCATGTTACAATTCAGTTGGAAGTAATCATAGGCTGTTATGCACAAGCATGATAAACTTGAACTAATTTAAGGGCGCAGATCAAAGCTGATGCTCTCAGATGAATTAATTTTATAAACACCGTTATTTTGTGGTATTTTCACAGAAAACGTCATATAAATTTATGTTTTCTTATAACCCATCACATTTTGTTCACGGCGAACCAGATTCCTTATGAACACCAATATTTATCTAGCTAATAAAATGAATATCGATCTTACCATTATTTGGTGTATCTATTAAATTAATGAAATCCACCATTTTACTATTTTTCGGTTTTCACTAAACCTCATACTATGATGGAGGTTAAACAATCAGCCTAAGTTGGCTTACATTTTTAACAGGTAACATTTGATCCAGTTAGCTGCACGTTTCCCGTAAATGTGTCTGACAGACGACCATTTAAATTCCATCTTTCAAAGGGGGTATATGTGGATACGGAAATATTGACTCACACAATGAGCCCGGAATAGACAAACATAGCTACTGCCGTATTTCAAGTGGTATAAGTTGAAATGACTTTAATGTATTCGCTGGACAGCAGTATTAGAAAAAATAGCATATATGAATGCTCACTGACTGTTAACCGTATTGGCCAATGCGGGTTCATTTATAACCTTCATTGTAACTCTTTACAAAGCCTTTAAACTGGCTGCTGCTATTTCAGTTAAAAAGTCGATTTGTGCTGCCTTAACTAGGTTTATCATCGTTCCTAGAAGAATTGGTATACTTTCTAGTTAAATACATTAACGAGCTCATTCATGGTGCAACATTCCGTAGACATTTCAATAAAGATCAGGATGCCAACACAAATCTGTTTTTGTTATTTAACTCATTAATTTATATGTTACTTTAAAAGTCGTATGCAAGCAAATTCTTAATAGTGTGACAATGCAATATACATGTCAGGCCAAAATTAGACAGTGTCCTTAAACATACGACAAATTCAATGATGCTTTTCAACAACGTGCGATTTTGGCTTGACACTACTGTAAATGGTAGAGGCCCTGAAGCAAATGGAATGACGAATGCTGCATTAATTTTGTCGCTTTGGTAGCGTTACTCTTGCTGCCGTATACGTATCTACTAACATTATTAGGAAAATTATTAGTCGAGTACGAATTAGTTAGATCCATGCATCTCTTATACTTCCTCGCTTTGTAGTAAGGATAATTTGAGACCGCCTTTACATGTTGCCTATTATATAAACGGGAAATATAAGCAAACTAAAATCGAAAGTCTAATCCTGACATTTAGAATAAAAACATTTTCTCGATAACTGCGCTTGCACACAATATCCGGTTCCTTCAAGTTCAGTGCAGTAGCTTCCATGAAATTGAGAAGAGAGGTTTCGATATGGCGCGACAGCACTTCTAGCAGTGTGATGTTTGAAATACTTTGACATAATGTTACTAATTGCCTGCAAGCCAAATATGGTGGTTTTCTGTGTGGAGGTGCAGCCTAAAATAGGCACATTTGCTGCGTTGTCTCGAATTGGACCCCGCTTGGCACGTGACTCCCCATTCTAGAAACCAATGGACTATCCATTCCATTTATATTTAAGTATAAATATGGAATGAGGTTTAGTATAAATAGACTGCACACCCTTTAATGATAGCAGTGGTAGTTCGGGGGTTCGGTCAATTATGGGAAGTTGAATGCACATTGATTGCTCTGAGCGGATGGAATTAAATGCAGGGGTCTTCTATGTATATGAACACCATCTCCGAAGCACGGCTATTAACACGTAGTTTATTCAAGCACACATGGACAAAACCCCAAGCATCGTGTCGTTAAAGGAATGTCCGAGAATACTCAGTTACTATTGTCATCTCGGTATAAAGTTGCGAATACTTGAACGTCGTTTAAAGTGACTTCTCTCGTACGGCGGACTTCATGTTTCTTAAGCGCCTACCCAATCAAGGAGCGTGTAAACCTGGTGAGATGCAAGGGTTATCCGAGCTATATACTTTTTGCTAGACAGAAAAGTATTTTTCCTTATTTCTTGAGTTTTTTGAAAAAGGTGAATGAGCCAGTCATTTTGTTGCTCAACTTTTCAAGAGACACTCATGCTATCATGTGCAACACTGAAGGGCGTCACCAGCTGTTGAAAGGTGTACATTAAAGGTCGTCGAAATATCGTTAACATAGAATTGTTGCACGAAAGTAGAAGCCTTTAGCATGGTAGGCGTTCTTCTACCTCGGCATTATGGAATCCGCTATCATGTGGTTCAATAAACTGTCCACGGCAACCTCAACAGTAGGTGGACATGTTATGTGTATGGAGTCAAACTAACGTTCTGTACATATCGACAAGAATACCTGTCATAATTTAACTAGTGCAGGCAACTTACCTCTGGAGCATTCTTATAAATAACACAACCGTTCATTGTTCTGGAGCAGAAGACCTCTGGAAAAAAATGATTTTCCCTCAAACTCAGATGGTTCCATCGGACGGGCTCATTTTGCCGACGTCTGATATAAAAATTTCAAGGAATATTTGAAGTTGCACTTATGTATAGTATCTGTTACCGAAGGAAGCACTTGCACTAGTTGCGCAGGAGTTAAAGTTATTGGGCATGTATCACCAAAGCTCTTAGGTAATTTTGTCCAGCGAAGCTGTTGTTTAATAAGGCACCTCGATGCAAGCAGCAAGTACCCTTCAAACGTACAAGTGCTCTTTCCACCCAACGCAAAATGTTTTGTCTCGTTACATCATATAGAATCATATAGACATGCATCCCTTACCAACAGGTTTTAAAATGATTGAATACCCTTCCGGAACAAATCGTGAGTTAATATTTTACAAGCTATGAACATAACTGCGAAAAGGTTTGCCGTCTCGGACACGGAAATCTAAATTCATTTTATTCAAAAATATCTTTCACTCAACAGATCCTATATCTACAAGTCAAAACTTCAGTAAGAACACTTAAGTTAATCGGATTAATATAATTTCATCAAATCCGCTTGAAGAAAGAAATGGTCGGTGGAAAATATATGTCAAACACAATTTTTTGTTGTAGCATTCACCTACGTGAACGAGGAAAATGAATATCCACAACTTGTGAAAGGTACAATAGCTAACTTCCTTATGCATTTAAATCTGGTAATGAAATGATACAAAAGCGTACAAATGTCACAGCAAACACGAATATTGTATAAGAAACTTACCCAGTGTGATGTAACTGGGAGATGTGTATTTTTATGCTTAAAACGACGTGCAAGTTAGTAACGTGACTAGAAACGCATACAAAATAGTAAGCGTGTGCTACTATTTCCTAAGTAAAAATAGGCGTCACAAACGGGAAAACTTGATTTCGTGCCTGAATATTTTCACATATACAGAAGAATTATAGCTCTCATGCAAAGCTCAGAGCTAATAGTAATAATCTTAGTGTATTTTTATGCATTGGGTTATTTTATCATAGCAGTATAACTGCGGATAGCAGCATCCAGTCGGTTAGTTTTGGCTGTTTTGAAAAAATGTCTTTATGTTAGATTTCTCAGTTCCTTGGAAGTATTAAAAAAAGTTTAGAGAAAATTCAGTTTCATTTGGTATTCTACATTGTTCGACCAAAATTACTTTTGTTTTCACCGCTTGGTTTCGGCGATCTAGCTCTTGCCATTATCTCCAGCAACGGCTCGCTATTTTGTTCTTGGGATATTCACAATGTCGAAGCAATCTCCCGTGCGGAACTTGTTCCAAGATATTTGTATATCGTGCAGATGCACCAAATGTGTGTCGTGCCAAGTTAAATACCAGCTTTCATGTGTTGGTTTATCAGTGTAGCATTTCTATCATCTCCGTGAAATCCAAGACGATTCCGTTCAAACGTTATGCAAAAGTTACCGAAACAAGATACAGCCAGAAAGAGAAAATCCGACGTGATGTCGTCTTCATTTGGTTGGAAACAATCTAGCCAGAAAAGCCTTTAGGTTTTAGCTCGGTCTTCCCATTCTACCGGTGCAAACTCACTAGCACGAATTCCAAATGTTTTGAGAAGACAAGTTTCACCTGGCATAAATTGTTTACCCCTGTTTGCCCAACGAATACTGATTTCCCAGCAGGTAAAATTCTGTGTGCGGAAAAGCAGTGGAAAGCATAAATAACAATATTAGAAGGTGATGTTTGGCGTTTAAGTAAGGTAAATCAACAGTTAGCCAAACCACGTGCGGCTCGTCCTGCAAGATAAACCTAGTCCGATCGGAGGCTTTCCAACGTAATGCTAGTTCACGCGCCGGAGTCCAGTCATGCGCCACCACAATTGGGATACGATGAAGGTGCCGAGATTTTACAGCGTCTATTTGACAGACTTCTCTGTGCTGGTGAGGACTCTGTAAGAGCGAGGCAAATTACCGGTCTTAGAAAGCAAGGTTATCAGCAAAGTTGGTCCTATGAGGAAGCTAACCAAATAGTGATCCTGTATTGTCTAAGTAAGCTGAAAGTTTTGAATTTCCATGTTTGTCAAGACGTGGACCAAAATGACAAGGAATAAACACAGTATGCCTTCAGAAACCTCAAAAAACGTACTGGCGCGGGAAGACAAATCTCTGTTTCGTAAATATTTGGGTGGTTTCCAATGACACGCGAATCAGGTTAAACTGGTTGCTCTCACCTCAGGCACGCCCGGAGGTTCCTGCTGCAGCCTGCGAATAGCCTTTGCCAATGGTTGCAGTGTTGTTAACAAAAGCGATGCGATGCTTTGTTTCGTTGCTCCTGAGAGGCCAGACGTAGTGGGACTTGCAGACGCGCGGCTAAATACAGAGTTTATGCACACGAAGTAGAACTCAACGGTTAATGTTGCTTCCGCTGCGATTGATAAAGAAATGCCCGCGGTGGCTTCTTGCTCTAAATCCGGTCTTTCCTGCTTTTGATAATTGTGAGCACGTACCGAAGTGACAATGGTCTGTGTGAAATATTGTTGTGCTCCATCCACCACTGACGCTACGAACCACTTGTAGGCGATGTCTAGTGGAGCGTCCGATTTGTTTGGGGTGGTCGCACCATGTTCAAACCCACACGCATCGTCCACATTCTCTACCTAAGAGCGACTTTAACTGTCCTCGAACACGATAGCCTGATGTGCATTTGCTGCCTGGACATGGTGAAGTTGAAGCAAAGTTCATGAAGGTGGCAATTGAAACTGTAGCACCGAAAAAGTTATGCCAACCAATAAGCCCAACACCACGCTGAACGCCGTCCTGTCTTGACACGATGTTAACGACCTACGAATATCCAGTGTGTGACGTCCTGATCCTAAAGCCTCAGCCTACAAGTGACCACTCAGTTCCATTAGTTGTTATTGAATTGCCTTTGTCGTATTCACGTAAGTTTGAATCAGCTAACAATTAATGGAAGAAAAACCTCGACGGTCTAGTTCGAGCCGCGAGCCAACTGTATTGGTCCCAGTAACAAGCTGACGCTGTGGAGAAATGCTAGATAGTTAGAAACTGAATTTGACATCATTATATTCTTAAATTATGTCCCTAAAATGTCGGAAGATTGTACTGCTTAAGCTGGACTGGTTTAAAAAGGAATATAGAAACTTGGCTCAGAGGCGGCGCGGATTAGGAGAGATTCCTCTTCTCTGGCTCTGCCAATGGCTACGAAGGGTAAAAAACTTCAGCGTAACATGTGCAATAGTGCAAAAAAAGAATAATCGTTGATATTTTGAGGAACAGCAATCAATCGCCGCAAAGATGGCGATGAAGCCGGCAGTGATGTGCCAGCGCTGGCTAGCCCGGACGGACAGAACCTAACCTATAGCAAAGCGCGTTCCTCCGCGTTGGTGGCGCACTTCACTTAGGTATTGGCAAACGAACATATGTCTGTTCCGGGTTCAGCATATAACGCCTTTACATAACCCTACAGTCTGGATTGCGGGTTGAAGTATTATGCCAAATACTCACCAGCCTTGGCGGCACCAAACCTTCCGGAACTGATACGCTGTACTTACTGTTTATTAGGCCAATTTAATTATCATCTTGCCTGCTGTGATTAAACTGATCAATAATTGGCTATCAAAATGCTCGTTGCCGAATGACTGAAAATGATGGTTGTTTAAGCCAATTCTGAAGGGTGGTGTCCATATCAATTAGACAACTACACACTATTTTGGATGACACCTAGTTTGACGGCGTTTTCTGAGAATATCATGAGAAAGGGATGGCTACAAATGTTTGTGTCCAACGCGTTCATGAGATACTAAGAGCATTATTTTTAGTCTAGTCTATGTATGCATTATCCGCTGGCTTGTGATCAGGCATGTGTGTTTAAGGGTAATAAGCAAGAGAAGTCTGTCGAGGTGATAATCATCGATTAAGGTAAAGCGCTTAACATGGTCAGCATGAGGTCCTTCTTCAGAAACTCAGAATGTGTTGTGTCAGTGGCTTACTGCACCAGAGGATTCGCGACGTTTTTTGTTAAAAGCGAATGGTGCAGGTCGACGACAAACTATCGGACGCAAATCGCCATACAAGTAGCATAAATCAAACGATTGTTCTGGTGACCACTCTGTCGCTGATCCACATCAACTGGACTGTCTACAGCCGATAATATGTTTGAATCCTGATGTATGTTAGACAAATTCGAGTGTTCTCCATTAAGGTATGTTACTGTTTTCTACGTGTAGCGTCAGATTTATAGCCACACTCTTCAGTATCCAATGTTTGTGTTTGTCAAGTCTACTCAGAGTAGACGATGCAAATAAAAGTTTGCTTTTATGATCAGTTGAGGATGTATTATTGTCAGGTAAACTTGCTTTCCGCTTTGTGCCGAATCTCGAATAACAGTCAGGTGAATAACTTGGGCAACCTTTAAGCACTTGCACTGCTATCTGTTAAATTCGATGTGTTACTTGGATTTTTATCCTTCTAATACTTTCAAATGTTTATGTGAAATACATCAGCTAATATTTGACAGATCGTCATTCAAAGAGATCGGCGCGCTAGCGTAACGCCACAGCTTCCGTTTATGATGCTGAGACACCTCAGAGCCATGTGGGTATAAGGTCAACAATATTGGAGCATAATACCTATTTTCGGCTAAACTATATTTTGCGGTCATCCTTGCATTGAGCACTTCAATTGACATCATAATAAATAAATACAGAAAAGTAGAAAATTTTAAATTTCATAAGCAACATATCTCAGAGCTTGAGCGCACGATGTAAACGCACTATGCGAATTTTTCAACAGTCGTGTTTTTGGTATGTTACACGTCGAATTACTTTCTGTATAATAGTTCCCACAGTTATTTTCATTAAAATTTGAAGCACAAGGATATAGCAGTCAAGGGGCTTAATACAATTTCTGCCAACGGCTATTGTTTATAAGTATGCAATTCTCATCATGCAAGTTACTGCAGACAACCAGCATAGAGTTTACCGTGAATGTAATAGAAACCAAGTTTATGTATCATAGACAATTTGGACAAGATGTCGCATTCTGGCTGCTGGACCTCAAGCTATACAATGACGCAGCTCAAACATTCACAATGGCCTGTCTCTATGTCGTAACCGAGGCCACGGCTTTTGTTCACCATTAACCTTGGGATGAAAATTCCTGTACAGACTGAATCATAATTTCTAAGTCATGTAAATGGCTGCATAGCCGCAAGCAACCGGGGATAACCGACAGTGCCTTTAGCAACGCGTAATGACGAACAGTTAATTCAACGATTGTTAAAAGACGCAGAAGAACTATCAACATCTATATTGTATATCTGCTTATTTATGTTGCTCACCAGAATATTTATCTTCACTGGGAGCCACATTCACGTTGTCAAAAGTAGTGATAAACTACGATCTATGAACTCGGTTTCTGTGAAACCACTAAATTTTGGATTTAAAAAACTATGTAAAGCTAATGTCTTCCTTCTTTTGACATCAACTTACGCCGTCCACACCAGTCTTGCTGCATATACTAGCTAGTTAAGGTGCACAAACATACAAAGTAATTAGAAATGTTCGAGTTGCGTTTGTTATTGTCAGCAAGAAGGTCCTAATTATCGATTGCCGTTTCATAATCGTTAGCTAACGTTAGTTTTGAAACACTTCTGAAATCATGGTTATAGGTTAAGTTCTAATTACATGCAAATACTATGGGTTCAGCCTATGA